CTGAGATGATACAGAATGTAAGAACTGGTCCATCTGGCAACATGGACCAGAGGTTATTTGGGTTCCCAAACATCTTTATAATATAAGTCTGTCAATAATAGGCCTAACAGAGGTTGTTGTTGTTGAAATAACAAAATTATTTATTGTTTGTTTAATTGTATATATTAAACTGAGCCAACAATGACAAAAAAGAATCTCCATATGCATAAATGTCCATACGACACTGAATTGTGATTTATTCCATATCCTCTGAAGACAAGCAATAGTTATGTGTAATAAACAGTAGAAAAACTTAATTCACTGCAATTTCTCCTCTTTTTTTGTAGGCCTCATTTCATTCACATTTTCATAAAATTAAAAAATGATGCATTAATGTAGAGGGAAATGAATGAATTTTGAAGGTTATGGAGGAGGGAAGATTTCCATTAAATAATGACGACGTTTTTCATTTTTGGGTACTGCAAATAAATCTAAAGACTAATTATTTTATATAGTAAATATATTTGAATATTACATATATTGCATGAAATTTTGTGAACTTTCAGGAATGCAATAGCTTTTAGATAATCTTAAAGCTAATACATGAACTAAGCTACAAAACTTCAACTTTTTCACAGGGTCAGTAAGTATCCAACATTTGCCACACAATAGAACAATCCTCTTACACCACAAAGCCTGAAACTTTCAGTGAACCATATTTTAGCTTAAAGCTATTTATGCTTCTATAATGCTGAAATCTAGCCCAAGTGTGAATTCATGTCTGAACATCACCTAAAACCACAGATTTCAGCCTGTGTAGCAAAAATAGAGGAAATGCCATCCATCCTGCAATACATTTATATTCTTTTCATTTGTTTTTATCAGAAAGGATCAGATAGTTACATGTATAGACAGCGGCTGTGAATAGCTGAGAATGTACCAAACAACAGTCTACCTCAGTATCATCAGTCCCCATCACAGCAAAGAAACATATTACATTTAACCTAAATGAATGGCATTGATGATTGGTCACAAAAGAAAGCATAATCTTTCAAAAGAAAAAAATCTGCTGTATTAATCTAAGATGCTGAACAGAAAGCAAACAAGACTCAAAGTTTGTCCAACAGCTGTATCGCAAACAACTGCATTTCTAAAGATTAAATACCGATCTTTAAGGTATGGTTCATAAATGGGCTCCTGCACCTGCAAAATACACAGAAATGCAATGACAATGGTAAAATACCACACATAGTTTATTTTAAAAAGCATTTTCTAAGAAAGAATCTCAGGAACTTTGTTCTTGCCTATAAAGTATGGGAGTATGACATGGTGTTTATTCTTACTTTTGAAAAACATTTTATGAAAAAGGCATGCAATTATTAAATAAAATATTTTTTTTCCCCTATAAAACCTACCGATACTGAAATAAGCTTGTCTGGAGCAGCCTGAAAACAAGACAAAATGCATTCGTTGTGCTCCATGAGTATTTAAGGATCCTGGCTATCAAGTTGAAACAGGCCCGAGGAACAGAAGAGACTGCAAAATACCTGGAATTCTAGTTGTGTTTAGCAGGAAACGGAGCCCATCTGTACACATTACCTCCCCTTAATGCAGTAACGGTCTTACTCATGCCTGATCATGTATGGCTAAATCTGTCTAAAATTCTAGTCAACATATTTTGGTAGCTGGTTGACATGGTTAAACTATACAAAAAGCCAATGCATCAAGTGAGAGAAATGATTACTTAGTCTACTTAACCTATTTATAGGACACACACATCCATTATGTCTTTACTTAACTAGAGAAGGCAAGAACCTCAAGGGAAATGACTGGCTTTAAGAAACTAGTGTTATTTGGGATTTGAAAATAGGTGACATAAATGACATCTCACACCAGTAGGGCTGGGCAAAAAATCGAATGCGATTTTCATGCAAATCTCGTCAGTAAAGCCACTTCTGGTGATTAGCTGGTGACTAGAGCCGTAGTTCACTGACAAGCTACACAAAATCGGCAATGAATCGCCTGCGATTTTGAACGCGATTTTGTGTAGCTTGTCAGTGAACTACACAAAATCGGCAATGAATCGCCTGCGATTTTGAACGCGATTTTGTGTAGCTTGTCAGTGATCTACGGCTCTGTGTAGTAAATGCCGCTCCATCTGAAAGCACGTGCTGGAGATTTACTACTAATCACCAGAAGCGAGATGCGCATGAAAATCGCATTCGATTTTTTGCACAGCCCTACACACCAGTAATCTAGATTTCTCAACACCTTGGCACACAAAGTGATCCAGAACGAGACATGAATAATGTGGATTATATGACATAATGTTTCAAAACTGGGTGTATCACTCTGTTTTTGCTCCCACAAGCATTGTGTTGCTGTATTTTGTCATCACAGACAAATAACAACTAAAACATGCAAACTGTGGATGTGACTCAGACCTCAACATTGCACCTTAACTGAGGACAGAGGCCATAAAAAGCCAAGCCCAAAGCCGGGGTGTCTTCATTAACAACATTATGACAAGAATTGACACTTTACCACAACCACACAGAGAGAGAGACAACATTACACTAATGCTGTGCCACTAAATGGATCTCGAATACTTAATTTCCCTTCTGGGGATGTATCTGTTAGGATTGTCTTACTTTACTGCTAATCAACTGGAAGAGCATAATGCAAGCAACACCATAGTCAAGGGATTGATTTCCAGGTAACACAAAAAAAATATAGCTTGAATGCTAAATGCCAGTGTCAGGGATTCACCCAATGAAGCCTACAGTATCATATTTGATAGTCTTCTAAATTATCAAAACTTTGCTAAAAAATCTGTTGTATTTGTCTACTACAGCCTTCTGTCGTCTGATTGATAGCTTATACTTTTTTATTAAGTAAATTCCTTTTAGTATAATTCTAAAAAGTCTGGACACCGTCAAGTCATAGTACACATCTTTTTTTGCTGTGAAATTTTTAATGATTGCTATAAAGTAAACATAGGAATAACTTTTATATTTTTGGCAATATTTTATGATGGACATTTACTAGACTGAAGCAACTTTTTACTTCATTATCCAAACATCATTTTTTGGAAATACCTTGTTCAAATCTAAGTCTAGTATACCTCATTCTTTTGAGAAACGATTATTTGTTCATCTCTCAATCGTAATTGTATTACGTTGCATTGTATGTTTTGACCCCACAATAAAACTACAGAGCTTTGATAATAAAACTAAGCATTTAAATATAATTTTACTAAGACATATTATTGGGACCAATAGAGTGACAACTGATATTTATATGTTTTTTATTTAAGTAGTCTGCTATGCTGTTATAAAGATCTCACTGATTTACATAAGCTATCAAAATTTCATCTGACTTTTTTGCCATATATACAGTGGGTACGGAAAGTATTCAGACCCCCTTAAATTTTTCACTCTTTGTTATATTGCAGCCATTTGCTAAAATCATTTAAGTTAATTTTTTTTCCTCATTAATGTACACACAGCACCCCATATTGACAGAAAAACACAAAATCGTTGACATTTTTGCAGATTTATTAAAAAAGAAAAACTGAAATATCACATGGTCCTAAGTATTCAGACCCTTTGCTCAGTAGCAAATGGCTGCAATATAACAAAGAGTGAAAAATTTAAGGGGGTCTGAATACTTTCCGTACCCACTGTAAATGACAGCAACTGCACCAAATTTCATAATTTTGCTATTGGGCCTCTGTTAAAATTGAGGTATTTTGCCGTCCTCCATATTCACAATGTTATTAATTATTATTTTATGTAGGCCTATTACTGTAAAAAATGACCGTGAATTTAACGGTAAAAGACTGTAAAAAT